ATATATATATATATATATATATATATATATATATATATATATATATATATATATATATATATATATATATATATATATATATATATTATATATATATATATAAATGTTTATCGGGAGGTGAGATCTGTAAGTGAAAATCTTGGTCGGTGAAGATGTCAGTGTTCCGTTACTTTGCCAATGCAAAGTGTTTTTTTCGTTGCCATTTACTCGAAGTTCTACCCCACCTGACATATATGCATAAAAAGATCCTCTCAATATCACCGTTTTACATTTACATTCAGTTGGTTTTAAATTATTGTCCCAAAAATGATAATTATATATGTTAGCCAAAATTTTCATGTATTTTTCTTTCGTTCCTTATCGCAATTTTGAAATAAAACAGAAAATAGCGGCGAAATAGAAAAAAAAGGAAGCGAAAAGGATACAGCAACATCTATCAGTGCAGAATTAGCAGTTTCAACAACTGCTAAATTCTTTTTTCTTTTTTGTTTTTTGAAACTGCAGCAGCGACAGTAGCAGAAGCAATAATAGCAGTTGCTGCTGCATGATTGCGCAAAATGACTGGTTGATTGACTGACTGAGTGTATCGTCTCATGAAAGACACAGGTTGGATTTGATATATCGAGGGGAAAATATGAGAGGAAAGAGGTCCGGTTAAGATGAGATCGAATGGAGAAGTGGGAAATGAGAGAGAAGACCGGTGGCGTCCATGTACATTAGAGACTGGAACGAAAAAATCGCCATTTCCTACTTAGTTCCCTCTTTTGCCGACTTTTCTATCTAGCAACTTTCTGAACTGACAACTAACACATCCTTTGGAACACTATGTGTAGCCAAAACTTAGGAGACATAGTGATGTGGAACAATTTGGTCATTTGATGATTAGAAAGTAGTCGGGATGGAATATAGGTTAAAGTATTTCCCAAAATATCCTGTTTCCATTATTTTATAATTCTTTCTTTTTCATGTCTAATGAGACTTCAGCAATTCTAAGAATTTCTGCTATATTTAATTGTTCACTCAGAATGTTATCAACCAAGACATTACTGTTTGATGATAGGTTCAAGCCAAGCTATCGCAAAATCTTTTGGCCAAGTTAGTTGCATCTAACGTTTGGCAGGCTGAACCTAATGATTTTCATCATTCAGCATTACATCTTTTCTATTCTTTCCCATGCATTTTGCAAAGAGAGGAAGACTTTCGTGTCGCGTGTCCATCCGTTTTGTGAAACGTATCACTCTTTTCAGGAGGTAGGAATGCCGAGGTTCCTTAATCCTGGATGATCCCCGCCGTGAATGCTCTATTCCCGATAATATCCCGAATTTCAACACCTTATCAGCACATATACACATACACTTATTTGTGTATAACAGTAAAAATTGCAAGCTGACAACGTTGCAAACTTTCCAATTATGAAAGACACAGGAAAGATATATGGTGATTGAAGAGATTCCAGCTAATACATATAATTAGTAATAGCATAAAATATGTAGAAAGTCGACATTCATAAGATTCACTCAGAGGGTAACACACTGAAATCGACTCTGGAAGAAATAGAGAAAAAACAAATGTGCAGGGCAATGCTGAAAAAGCTCGGCTCTAGATGAATTTTTTAGAGGGCGGGACATATTTATGTGCGCTCTACATTTCACGTCGTGTTTCTGCATTTCCCTTCCAGTCCCATCCATCTGTTCTGTCTTGTTTTCCTGACTGTTTATCGTTTAGCCGCAATGTTATTTCAGATTACTGCATTGTCTAGAGTCCTAAAGAGAGGGCAAAAGAGAGAAAGGAAGGAGATGTGTGGCTACCCGCGTGCGGCCGTTCTCTTCTTGCTCGATTGGCATTTCAAATTTTCTGTTTTTACGGCCCTTACCTTATCTCACCACAACCTTTCCACCCGGTCTTTACTATCAACACCCTTTCTAACAATATCAGTTTGTCGTCTAAGTGAGGCTGTCAAAAGTTTCCCACTAAAATTGGTCATAATTCGATAATCTTTGAATAAGTTGGCCTGATGCCATACCCTAAATTCCGGGAATGAAATGAGACCGTTGAATACCACGCCACTCCTGAACCGAGAACTGTTACCGGATTATTTGCTACCTTGCCTGTTAAGTGATCTTCCTTTTCACTGAAGCTCGTAGAACATATATTCTCTCTTGTAGTCATAATCACTTAGTTATTTACTTAATGATTCCCGGAATAATTTTCTTTCTACTTACCGTCCATAATTACTTGTCAACCATAATTATAAATAATTGTAGTGAATACGGGTTACGAGAAAGGGCGAGTAACCCCTGTCTAGTTAGATTATCAATTTTTTCCAAGCTGTAAAAAAAAATCCTTAGTTTTATGCTGGCTTGGAATCATTAAAACTTCTTTCTTATTTGCATACTATATTTATTTGCCTAATTCTGTATCGGTTATCCGGGTTCGAATTATGGTTTAGCTTTTTCTTTTTTCCTTTAATTGGTACAATTGAAGCATTCAACCATCCTGATAATAATATATATATATCTCATTTGCACCTTCATTATTCACAGTATCCTTAATATTTTTAATTATTGCTGTTAGCTCTTATTGCAATAATTCATCATTCTGTTTCTTTTCTTTTTAATTTAGAAAGATGGCATGATTCTCTTTCTTTAGCACACTTTCCACTTTTACTTTTTTCATCTACAATAAGCGTAAAAAGTTTTGCAGAGCAAAATCCTTGTAGAAGTATAAAAAGTCTTCAGTCTGAAAAAAAACGAAACAACCCATCACCCTATCCAACTTTCCGAATGTTGCTGAAGCTTTTAATTGATATATATATATATATATATATATATATATATATATATATATATATATATATATATATATATATATATATATA